TGTTTTCTTATTCAGTCTGTCACTTTTTTCATTTTATTGGAATTTAAATCCATCTACATTTAAAATTATGAGTTAGATTCATATTTTCCTTCATCTACTTCTTAAATATTTTAAAGTTATGATTTCCCTCTTCTGCTGTAAACACAGTGTTATGTTCCTTAAGTTAATTTGCTCTTTATTTTTAAGATGGCCTTATTCCCACTGGTTCTCTTTCCTTCACCCCTCCTCATTTATTACCCCTTTCCCTTTAGGGTTTTGCTCATTAGTTCCTTTCTCCTGCTTTTATCTAGTTATATATTTCTTTTCCATCTTTTTTCCTCTCAGTCAGGTATATTTCCCCTTTCTCTCCTTCCCTTCAGATTGTCCTGTTCATTAGGGGTTTTTTATTTCATTTTTTGCACCTCTTCCCGAAAAGGTTTTCTTTCACTCTCTTCTTTTTATGCATCTTATCTTTCTGTTTATTCTAGACCTTCACTCTGTTCCTGCCCCCTTATACTCTTTCATATTGTAATGGGAGAAACATCCACAAAGAAATATTCACCTGTAGGCAAATGTCACCAGGTTCTGTCCATAATCCTCTCTCTGCCTCTTCACTCTTACCTCTTTTATTTTATGGTGTTTAAGTTTTTTGTCTTGTGATATTCTCCAGGGAGACCTATGATCCTCATAGGGTCTTTGAGATCAAAACTATATGTTTTGCTTTCATAATGAGTGTATTTTCTTTTTGTGTTTTTGTTTTTTATTCCTCTTCTTCTAGATGGTCTTTCACTTCTATATATTTGCATTTCCAACCTATTATTCTTTTGTTTCTTTGGTGAGACTTTTCATTGCAAATTCAAGTTTTTTTTTTCCTATTCATTTACTAGACCTGGAGACCATATTTCCTTCTGTTGTTAATGTTACCTCTCTTGATTTCATTTACTTATGTTTCAGATCTTTGAGTTCTCTTTTTCCTGAGATCTTTGGTAACTTCAGTCTTATTTTACTTTATTGCTCACTTTCTGACTCTCTCCCCTTTGATAATGAAAAGATTAAGTGAATGAAGATTTCAACACACATCTGAATGGATACTTCATAGAGTTTTTCAATCAGTATGTATGTATGTATGTATACACATATACATGCATGCATGTGTGCACACATGCAAGTGTGTGTATGACAGACTATACAGATAGACAACAAACTGTGAGCACAGTTAACCACTTCCAATTGTAGTTCACATGAAAACTCCTCAGTTTCACAGAAAAATGAATTTTGAAAACTAGAAATTTCTTATGTTCTTTTCAAGGTCCAAAAAATGCTGCTGGAATTATAATTTGAGCTTGGAAAATATGTCTGCTACAAACTTGTATGGAAATAGAGTTCTAACTTCTTGTTTTAACTTTTGAGAGCACAAGAAGTATATAAAGCTATTTGACATTACTTGTGATTTAAACAAAGTTAGTTGTCCTTGAATTGACTTTGCTGCTGCATAAATTTCATGAATAAGTATGGTTTTGCCTTGTAGTTTTAGGTTGAATTCATTAAGAAACATTATTAAGTCTGCAGCAAAAGCTAATTCCAAAACTATTTATTCAGTGTTTGATAATAGTGGTTATGGGCTGGTCTCCTCATTCAGAAAATGTTCAATCTTGATCTTATACTTTAAGAAAAAATCATAATAATGTTTTTTCTCTTCCTTTCTTGCTTTGACATAGTGGGTATGTACTGGTAACAAAAAATAAATAAATATCACACTATGATACATGTGACACTCAAAATGCTGTTGAGTTATAACTCAATCACTTTAATTTGTAGTGTGCTCATTAGCAACAGAAAGCAGTAAGCATTTCATATATGGTCTCTGTTACAACTACTCAGCTGCCATTGTAGCCAGAAAGCAGCCATAGAAAACATATAGATGAATAAGTATGCCTGTTTTCCAATAAAACTTTATCTATAGGCTCTGAAACTTGAAATTCATGGAATTTTCAAGTCTCATGAACTATTATTCTTCCTTTGATTTTTTTCCAACCATTTAAAAATAGAAAAATCATTCCAAGCTCACTAACTATATAAAAACAAGTGGCAGACCAGATTTGGCCTGCTGGTCAAGAAAACCACACCCAAGTCCTGTGTTTTGGTGATCCTTGAAGACAATTAGATTCTAAAGGAACACCTTTCTTTTTTCCCATTAGAAAGTAAACACTTCATGCTCAAATGGACTTAATTTTCTCAGATTCTCTTTACTAATGTGTTTCCATTTCAAATATCCTATTCAATTCTTGTTTGCATTTCAAAGTTTCTTTTCAGTTGTGTTTTATGCCTCCTCCCCAAGAATGTTTGAAAGTTTTCTATTCTATTTAAAAGCACATTTTCCTTATGGTATAAACTCATTTTTTTTCAAAGTAAGTTGTACTTGATTGAAAGTCTGTATCTTTTGCTTTTCAGTATAGCATATTCTAAGATATCCTCTCTTTCAGAGAAAATACATCATAATTATGTGCAATCTTTTTTTTTTTGCTTCCTTCTTAAAAAATTTAATTTAATTTTCTTGTTCCATTTTAAGTTCCAAACTGTTTCCCTCCCTCCCTTCCCAACCCACACTAGAGAAGGCCACTATTTAAGATAGATAGAGAGATATATACATACATACATACGTAAAACCATACTGTGCATACTTCTATTTACCACTTCTTTCCCTGGAGGTGGATAGCATCTTCCTTCATAGGACTTTTGTAGTTGATCAGAATATTTATAGTACTTAGAATAACTTAATCATTCACAGTTATTCTTCAAACAATATTGCTGTTACTGTATACAATATTCTCTTGTTTCTGTTCATTTTCTCTTCACTATTTCATGCAATTCTTTCCATGTTTTTTTTTTCCCTAAACTCAACCTGTGCTTACAGCACAGTAGCAGCCCATCACAATCATATACCACAAATTGTTTATCCATTCCCCAATTTATGGGCATTCTTGCAATTTTCAGTTTTTTACCACCACAAAGAGAGTTGCTATAAATATTTTAAAACATATAGGTTCTTGTCCTTTTTTCTGATCACTTTAGGAAACAGACCAACAGTAATATCAATGAGTTAAAAGGTATACACAATTTTATAACTCTTTGGGCATAATTCCAGATTGCTCTCCAAAATGGTTGGAACAGTTCACAGTTCCACCAATATTGTATTAGTGTCCCAATTTTTCCACATCCCCTCCAACATTTGTAATTTCCCCTTCAATCATTTTAGCCATTCTGATAGGTGTGAGATGACAGCTCAAAGTCATTGTGTGCAATCTTGAATGTGGCTCCTTCATACTTGAACTTTCTAGCTACTCTACAGTATTTTTTTTCTTTCACTTGGAAGCACTTGATTTTGGCTATTACATTCTTGGGTACTTTTTGATTGATGAATTCTATTTTCACATTTCTGATTCCAAAAGATCTAGTAGTTTACTTTTGTGTTTTGTTGTGTTTTGTTTTTTTTTTTAAATATGATGCCCAAGGTTTTCTGTTTGTTTGCTCATAGTTTTAAGGGATTCTGATGATTCTTAAATGATCTCTCCTAGACTAGTTGCTAGGTCAGTTGCTTTTGATAGTAGATACCTTATTATTTTCTTCTCCCCCCCCCCAATCTTTTGATTATTCTAATATTTCTTGCTGTCCATGAAGTTATTAACTTCTGTTTACTCCAGTCATTTTTTTTTTACAAATACACTACTTGAGGGAGGATTCTGCCTTCTCTTCTAAACTACTTATTATTCTTTCATCTTTTTCCTCTAGACTCAGAGTTTTAATTTATTATTTCACTTTTAATCTCTTAATTTTTTCCAGCTATTCTTATAGTTCTTCTGGATAAGTAATTTTCCCCCCTTTGGAACTGAGCTTATAGTTATAGACTTACTCTTGTCTTCTAGTTTTACCTTTCAGACTTTTCTTAATCCATTACATTTCTTCATCATTCTCAGTATTTTCATCCACTTACTCATGTTTTCAGTATAATTTCTTGGCTCAATTTCTTGGTTTCTTTCCATTTGGTTGGATAGACCTTGTTTAGTTCTGTCTCTGGATGCCACTGTCATTACTATTCTTCATGAAGTCATTGGTACTAAGTTCCACCCTCTGGCTCAACCCCTGGTTTCTGTCTCAATTTCTTTTCATGGCCAACTCGGGGCACTGGTCTCAATTAGTTCATCTCCTTTTCCTTTCCCAGACCTCAATTAGGAATTGGTTTCATCCCCTTCAGTGTCCCACACAGGCCCAAGTCAGATGATGGATATTAGAGTAGACTCAGCCCTCCTATCTGGGTCCCTAGTGTGACACCTAGGCATGGAATTGGTGTTCTATTCTGCTGTGGCTCCCTGTGCTTCAAGCAGGACTAACCTGGACCCCCTCTTCCTATACAATGGCTTACAGGGACTGGTTTTTTCCCCTACTTCTGTTATGACAAGCCAGGGCTAGAATCTGAGCCTGACACGTAGTCAGTGCTTTTACCATCATCTTTTTTTTGGTGGGGGCGGCTAGGCAATGGGGTTAAGTGACTCACCCAGGGTCACATAGCCAGTAAATTTCAAGTGTCTGAGGCCAGATTTGAACTCAGGTCCTCCTGACTCCAAGGCTAGCGCTCTATCCACTGTGCCATCTAGGACCATCATCTTCATCAATAACAATAATAATTTTTATAGAGTATTTTAAAATTTGCAAAGTCCTATACATATGTTATCTCATTTGATCCTCATAATAACTCTGTGAGGAAGGTCTGCTGATCAATTGATCTGGCATTAGGAGGTCCTTGATTTCTATAATGACACAGGTGTGGGGAGAGGAAGTGGGGTGAAAAGAGGAATAGAGGGAGAGAAAGGCATTTACAACCATAATTAAACCACAAGCTATTGGACTCCAGCTCAAAATGGGATGGGGCCAACACTCTTCTATTTCTTCCCCATCACACATTTCAAGAAGGGGGCTTCAGACACTAAAATCTTAGACCTTCTTTCTTTATCTTCTTTGTACAGCTGCTGCAAAGAAAGTTGTGGTAATACCAAGTCCTCCATGGACCCCTGTTTTCAAAGGGGAGAAGGTGACTCTGACCTGCAATGGACCCCATTTGTTAGATCCAAAGAAATTGTGGTGGTTCTACGAGAATGAATGGCAGAAGAGTTCAAATCCTCTTGAAGTCACAAAAGCTGGAGAGTACAGATGTGAAATGGACTCATCCATTAGTGATCCTGTGCACCTGATATTTTCTAATAGTGAGTAAACAATGGAGTACAGCCTAAGAAATCACATTCTTAGAAAATAACTTTGAAGTGCAACTTCCTACAGGGAGGAAGAAATGAAAAAGGTGGAGATGACCTTAGGGATTTTAACATTGTACACACCATGACATTAAGAGAGGAGTTAGAGCTGGGGAGCCATTCTGCTCTCCTCAGACCATGTAGGTAATGGATATCCTCAGGTGACCAGGCAGATACGGACTACTCTTAACTGTAGGTAGAAGTATAGTAGTGATAACAATAATAACTAGCATGTGTATAGCACTTTAAGGCTTACAAAGTGTTTTATAACCTGTGTCCTTGCGGGCTGGGTCTCCAGGAGGATACCAGAGACAGGGATTCATGGGTGATACATGAAGATCCTGGATGTAGGAGACTTTAGGGATAGCAAGGGAAACTGGAATCACCTTGCATAGGACCAGAGCATGTGGACTTGATGAAACAGAGTGACGAGAGAGGAAACAAAGATCACTACAGATTAGAACTGGAGAAAGGGGAAAATTCTGAATATACTCCTGGGAAGAGGGCAATAAGATCCAAAGTCTATTCCTCACAACAACCCTGGGAGGTCGGTGTTATTAGTATTCCCATTTTGTAGATGGGGAAACTGAGGCAGACAACGATAAGTGATTTACCCAGGGCCACACAGGTAGTAAGTGTCTTAGTTTGGGTATGAGCTTGAGTCAATGAAATTCCCTTTCTAGATACAGAGATGAATAAGGGAATTTATCCAATATGATGTCATCTGGAAAAAAGGTCATCCTAGAGTGAGAGAAACTGGTTATATAGATGGGTTGTGTGAGGAAACAAAGAGGGTGAAACCAGAACCCTTCAATATATAACAGGTAATCTATGGGCCTTTTCTTTTTAGAGATGGTCAGAAAGAGGAAGGGCCAGTAAAAGGTAAACTGAGTCCTCTATTCTATCTTACAGATGAGCTGGTTCTTCAAATTCCATACTATGTGTTTGAAGGAGATGAATTGCTCCTGAGATGCCAAGGACGGAATGATGTAAAATTCACAGATATTTCATATTTTAAAGATAAAAAGGCCCTTCGTTCTGTCAGAGAAAATTCAGTGCTCTCAATCTCTCATGTAAATTCAGATCACAGTGGTCTGTATTATTGCAAGGCCACGAAGAACAGATGGTATCAGTACACGTCAGAAGAGGTAAAGCTCCACGTCCAAGGTAAGAGCTTCAGTCTTGGGGGAGAGGTGAGGGGAGCTCATGGATGGAGCATAGTAAGGAAATGAGATGGAGTCATCTGTTGTCTCTTCATCCGTTCAGCTGGAAACACAAGACATGTCACCCCAGGAGCTCTGACACTCACTGTCCTGGGCACTGTGTTTGCCTCCTCTCTCTAGAATTGTTTCCACCCCCTAAGCTGAAAACCACAACCTCCCAGCCCATCGAGGGGACCCCAGTGACCCTGAGTTGTGAGACCCAGCTCCCTCCACAGAGGTCAGACACCAAGCTGCACTTCTCCTTCTTCAGAGATGACAGAGTCATTGTATCAGGCTGGAAGGAGTCTCAGGAGCTCCAGATCCCAGCCATCTGGAGGGAAGACTCAGGGTCATACTGGTGTGAGACAAAAGCAGTGACTCAGAATATTCAGAAACAGAGTGACCACATGAAGATCAGTGTGAAAAGTGAGTGTCAGTGATGCAGGGCTGGGATTGAGAGGTGGAAGGAAGGGCAATGTCACCATTTTGGGTTTCATTGCTAATGTCCTTTCTTTGTCTGTTTGAGAATGGGAGTTGTATCAGGGAGAGCCAACCAGAGTTCCTAGGGTTCCACCCTTTCTCCAGTGGGACATCAGTAAGAGACAACTTGAATTTCAGTGCTAACAATGTTTCCACTTCTATAAAACTACTTTTCTTTTTAAACCATCAAATCAACAAACCAACAGAAAGGAAGCAAGCATTTACAAAGTACCTACTATGTGCCAGGCAGTGCGCTAAGCACTTTAGTAATATTATCTGATTTGAAACTCATAACAATCCTGTGGGATAGGTGTTATTATGATCCACATTTTACAGCTGAGGAAACTGAAACAGACAGGAGTTAAGCAACTTACCTAGGGCCATAGAGGTAGCGTCCTGATTCTAATCTCAGCTCTCTATCCACTGTACCACCTAACTGCCTGAAACAGAGAATATTTTATTAAACATTTACTAAGTGCCTAGCACTATATTCTGTTCTGGGAATAATACAAAAGATTCAGACATATCTCCCACCTAAAAGCATCTGAGAGATACAGGCAACAATCATATAATTTAATCCTGAAATATATGACCTTTACTCTGAAAAAGAAGAGATGGGGCTGGGGGATGGAGAGGGAGACAGAGGCAGTGACTAAGAGAAATCAATCTGGTGGAGTCAATGAAGTCTTTGTGGAGTGGTTGGAGCTTGAATAAGGGAATAGACTGGATCTCACTGCCCTCTTCCCAGGAATATATTCAGAATTTTCCCCTTTCTCCAGTTCTAATCTATAGCGATCTTTGTTTCCTCTCTCGTCACTCTGTTTCATCAAGTCCACATGATCTGGTCTTATGCAAGGTGATTCCAGTTTCCCTTGCTATCCCTAAAGTCTCCTACATCCAGGATCTTCATGTGTCACCTTGTGTTCACCCAGGAATCCCTGTCTCTGGCATCCTCCTGGAGATCCAACCCCCAAGGACACAGGTGATTGAAGGAGAGAAACTGGTCCTCACCTGCTCAGTAGCTGAAGGCACAGGAAATATTACATTTTGCTGGCACAAAAATGCCACCAAAGATTGTCTAAGAAAGAAGACACAGTCTTCATTGAAGGAAGAGTTTATGTTCTCTACTATAAAGAAGAGTGATGAAGGGAGTTATCAGTGTGCCGCCGACAATAACATCAACACCATATTCAGCAGGACAGTGGTTATCACTGTGATGAGTGAGTTCTACTCCCCCATATCTCACCCCACCAATGTCCATGTGGGAGAGTCCTCATGGGGTTTTAAGGAGGTTCTAAGGGGCTCACAAAGACCAGAGCTGTAGAGGAGATATGAGAAGTCACTGAGAGAGAATTTGAGAATCAGTACATGGGTGTTGTTTTGTTGTTATTGTTGTTGTTCAGTCACTTCAGTTGTGTCTGACTCTTTATGACCCCATTTTGGGTTTTCTTGGCAACAATACTGGAATGGTTTGCCATTTCCTCCTCTAGCTCATTTTACATAAGAAACTGAGGCAAATAGGGTTCAGTGACTTGCCCAGGGTCACACAGCTAGTAAGTGTCTGAGGCCAGATTTGAATTCAGGAAGATGAGTCTCTTTGATTTGAAACCCAGTGCTCTTTCCACTATACCATTTAGCTGCCCCTAGTGTCTGGGTAGAGATCCAGAAAAAACATTAGCTAGAAATTAGAGAATCACAAAATCACAGAATCTCAGAGTTGGACAGGACCTCAGAGACCATCTGTTCCTACCAATATTGGAACAAGAAAAGCAGCTGTAACATTATTTGATAAATGTTCATTCAGACTGCTTAGAGGTCGTCAATGAAGAAGAAACTACTGCCTCCTAAGAGAGCCCATTCCACTTTTGGATGACTCTCATTGGAACGATCTCCCTTATATCAAACCTAAATTTGACATGTTGCAACTTCCCTTTCCCTCTACAAACGTTTCTACCTTCTGGAGGCAACAAAACAAAATTAATGCAAATAATGTCTCTTCCAGAGATAGTCCTTTAAATGCTTGAACTATTATCATGTCAAGCTAAGCCTTGTCTTCTCTGGGTTAAACACCCTTAGTTCCTTCAATTATTCCATAAATAAGATTATCTTGAAGTCCTTCACCATCCTTCCTATGGACTCTTTCCAGATTATCAATGTCCTATGTTGCATGTCATGCACAGAAATGAATCCAATACTCCAGATGTGGACTCATCATGGAGAGAATAGTGGAACTAGCATCTCTCTAGCCTTATACATGATACTTTTCTTAATGCAGTCCAACATCAAATGAACTCTCTTGCAGACTACATCAAACTATTGATTCATATTGAGCCTGTGGTCCACTACAATCCCTGTATTCTTTTCAGTTGAAATGATCCCTCACCATGCTTCCTCTGTCTTCCATTTCTGAAACTGACTTTTTTTTTTAACCTAAGTGTAAAATTTAAATTCATCTCTATTAAATTTCATCTCATTCAACCCAACATTCAAAGTTCGTGAAATTTTTTGGATCCTGACACTGTCATTGGGATTAGCTAGCTCTCCTAGCTTTCAGTCACCTGCAGTTTTGATTAACATATCATCTATTCTTTTATTGAAGTCACTGATGGTAAAAACAAAATTGTCAATAGGAAATGTCCCAGCATAAGATCTAGAATTTGGGGACTATGGAAGCCAGAAATTTCTATGGAGAAATGTTTGTGATTGACATCCTTCAGCTATGGGGTTCATGGGCATATTTCAAGACTAGAACCACCCTCTGATATGTTTCATTATCTCCCTCAGTTCCAGTGTCTCGTCCTTTTCTCACCCTCAGTGCAGTTGGGATGCAAGCTGTTGTGGGGGAAGTGTTGGAGTTTCGATGTGAAGTCCTCAAAGGTTCTGCTCCAGTCTTTTATCAGTTTTATCATAAGGGTTTAGTCTTGAAGACAATCTTGGCCCCATTTGGAGATGCAGCATTCTTTAACCTCTCTGTGACAACTGAGCATTCTGGGAATTATTCCTGTGAGGTCAACAACAGCTTCAGTAGCCAGTTCAGTGAGACGCTGGAACTCTCTGTCTTGGGTAGGTTAGAAGTTCTGGGATCCATTCCAAAATCCCCACGAGATGGTAAAAAACAGAAACAAAAATGCCATCTCCTGTCATGTTGGCCCACAAGTCAGTGCTTTCTGGGAATGGATATTTAACAACAGTATTTGGAAGAAGTTTACGTCCTTACACTCTAGAACTCATGTTCGGATTGCTCTCTTTCTTCCCTAGACCCAGCAGAAAGGAGCCTACTCATCATAGGAGTCACTGCGGCTTTGCTCAGCATCTTGGGTCTTGCTGCTGTTGCCCTTCTGGTTTACTTCAAGCTCAAGAAGAAGTCAGGTTTGTAATCCCTATGATTACTTTCTGTTAAGACAATGAAAACCGTTTAATTTCAAGGCCGATTCACTGGAACAATGGTCTTTAAAGTAGAAACTGGGATCCACTGGAAGACTGGGTTTTGATCCAAGGGGAGCCCAAGGGATCCCTAATTAACTAATTAGCAATGTTACCACATCTATCTTCACTCTCCAACATTTTTTCATTCTGTTCCATCTTCCCTTGTACAAGTTACCTGCTGAACTAAGTGTGTGCTCCATAGATAGAAGGGTAGAAAGATGACAGACAGATAGGATAGATAGATAGATAGATAGATAGATAGATAGATAGATAGATAGATAGATAGAAAATTATTAAACCCTGGGAATGTAAACAAGCAAAAAAAGGAAAAAGGAGGGGGCAATCTCTACCCTTAAGGTGTGTGCATTCTAATGAAGGAAGGTAATACATAAAAGGCATCTGGAAAGAGGAGGGAAATGGTACCTGCACAGGGGTAAGGCTGCTGGTGAGGAAGTAGAAAAGTTTGGAGAGTGAAGAGTGGAGCTGAGAATCAGGTGAGTAAATATGGCCAGGACAACTTATTATACAATGGTTGGGTCCAGGATTCCACCGCTCATAAGAGAGGAATTTCCAGGGTGAGAAGCATACTGTTGAGAAAATGGAAAGTCTTCAATGTGAGGAGTGGAGTTGGGTAGTTAGAATACAAACACTACCTCGGCACCCAAAACAGTATCTTGGAAGGTGCCATTGATAAAATCCAACTTCCTGTCCTCAGTATATCCACCCTTTCCTCCCAGATCATTGTATGGTATAGTAATGAAGAGGTTTGGGACTGCTGAGACCCAGAGAATGCAAAGGCAGAATTGCCTGGAATGAATTCACACACTCAACCCTTCTCTTTAGTTAAGAGGCAGTTTATTGTAATGCCAATAGTAGTGGGCGAAGTTCCTTTGGGGAAGTTGCAGCTTAATGGGGGTGAATCTAAAGCTTATAGAGAAAAGGGGCAGGGAAAGGAATGTTAAGGATGCTAATTAGGTAATTAAGGGATCCAGATGTTCTGGGAAAAAGCAGAGAGGGGCAGGGAGGTGGCAGTGAATAGAGCATGGGCTCTGAAGTCAGGAGGACCCGAGTTCAAATCCAGCCTCAGACCAAACACTTGACACTAGCTGTGTGACCCTGGGCAAGTCATTTAACCCCAATTGCCTAAAATTAAAAAAAAAGAAAAGAAAATGCAGGGAGTCTGCAAAGATAACTTTGTTGATACCAGACACTGAGAGAGTTGTCAGAGGTTTGGACGTTGGGGATCCCGTGTCAAAACAGTCCTTAGGGCAGCCAGGAATTTTCTCACGGTGTGTGTGTGTGTGTGTGTGTGTGTGTGTGTGTGTGTGTGAAGGAGGTGCTGGGTTACTTTCAAAGACATGGTCTTAGGGCTTTTTGGGGTCCAGGTCCCACCATCCCATCAGTAGATGCACTGCATTATAAGGCTCTGCATTATAAGGCAATAAGTGGTGAGTAAGAGACCTGCTTCCCCCCACCCTGACTCCTTTTCAGTTTGAATAAGAATAAGTGCATTGCACAGGATGAGTAGACCTAGATCAGTTAAGTGATTTGCCCAAAATTCCATAGATACTAAGTAGCAGAGCTGAAATTCAAATTCAGTTCCTTTGACTCCAAATTCATCATTCTTCCCACTGCACCATGCTTCCTCATGGCATTTCAACAACTCTTAGAAACTACTTCACAGATTCAGTTTCTAAAACCTGCAAAATGGATATAACAATGCCTATAATATTAACCTCACAAGGTTTGCATAAGGATCAAGATAGACAATGTATGATGCAAAGTACATTGAAAATCTTAAATCTCTCTGTACATATCAATCATTTTATGATTATAAATATAAGTAGTACTTATGCAATAAGTAATTATCACAATTAGTAATTAATATTTTAAAAGATAGAATACCTGAAAACCATAGAGTAATGTAGTTAAAGGAGTCATTGTCTGAGGACTAAATGTTATTAATTTAATGTGTTATTAATTAATTAGTTTATACGATATTAAATGATTTACTTAATCTCTTTGAGTCTCAGTTTCTCAGGTTTTTTTCCTCTTTGGTTAAAAGGGAAAGTAGTACCCACTCTGTCATACCTGCCTAACAGCTTTTTTTGTTTGTTCGTTTGTTTGTTTTTGTTTTTGTTTTGTGGGACAATAAATGAGGTGATGGATAGAAAAGCATTTTTAAAGTCTGAAACATTAAATCAAGGTTTTAAAAATTATTTCTTAACTTACTCTGCCAGCAAAATGATTAAGGCTGGGAACTTTTCCCTAAAATATTTTCTAGCCTACTCTGAAACTGAAGATATGATGGGGAAGGGCTAATGGATCAAGCTTATTGGCCAAGCTGATACTCCCAGGCTCAACCTCAGCCAATAAGAAAGTCCTCTGATTGTCACAGAAGGCTTGTGGGTGTAGCACTAATACTGCAAAATCACATAGTATCAGAGTTGGAAGAGACCTTCACATCCATCTGGTCCAACTCACCACTGATGAAAAAAAGTCTCCATCACAACATACTCAGTAAGTGACATCCAACCTTTGCTTGGGAAATCAGCTACCTCCTGAGGCAGTCCAAGGCACTTTGGAATAGCTCAGTTTATGAGAAAGATTTTCTTGACTTGAACCTAAATCTGCTTCTACCCATTGCTACTGATTCTTCCTTGTAAAGTCCAACAAAACAAGGCTAATCCCTCTTCCAGGTAATAGCTATTCAGTATTTTAAGGTGGCTATAATATCCTCTCTAAGATAAACATCTCTAGTCCTGTCAACTGATCTTCCTTTTGTTTGGTCTTGGCTTGCTTCACCATTCTGGATGCTGTTCTCTGGACTACCTCTAGCTTATTGATGTTTTTCCTAAACTGTGGTGCCCCAAACTGGGCTACGGCTAACCCAGGGCAAAAGACAGAGGGAATGTTGTCTCCTTTTTCCTAAAAATTGTGCCCCTCTCTAATTTACCCCAAGATCACATTTATATCTTTAGCTTCCCTTTACCACTGTTGCCTCAGAATGAGCTTGAAATCCACAAAGACCCCCAAAACTTTTCCTAGATAAACTGCTATGGAACAATACCTAGTACAGCTTGTATTTGTAAAATTAATTTCTTTTTCATTTTTTCTTTATTATGAATGCAACAACTACTGACAAACATTCTAATAAGCAAAAAATTAAGAACAAAGAACCAAAAGCAAATTATATTTGATCTTGGAGGCAATAGGGCACTATGAAGATTTTTTCGTTTTGGGGGGGAGGTTTTGGCATTGCAAAAACCATCAGTGCTTTACTGAAAGAAAGCAATAAATAATACTGCAATTAAAAATAAATCAAAAGAAGACTATGTATACTTTGTTACATAATTAGAAAGTTCACAAAAGATTAATAGAAAAACAACAGTAACAATAAGTTATACAAGTATATTAAAAGCAGAAATGAATAGGAAAAAGACAGGATATATACATATATACACACATATATATTTATATCTGGATACACACATACACACACACACACACGAGTTACATAATAAATAATGCACTATGGTCTTCACTGGTTTCTTGCTAGCTTTTTAATATGCCATTTTAAAAAGTAAAAGGTACATTCTCTACAGTTTGAAATATAATGACTATACCACTAAAAATCTCAAAAATTTGAGACGTATACTTTAAACAAGTTAAGCAACAAATGCTGAAAGGTGACTGACATGAGAACAGTAAGGCATGAATTAATGGCACTGCATCCCTCGGCAGAGTCCCGGGCCTGAAGACTGCAATGCACTTTGTGATTGGTCTTCTAAGAACAATTGCATCAGAGCCTCTCAATCAATGGTGCTAATGAAGCTTCTTTAGCAGGGGAATGACATGGTCAGACTTGAGCTTTAGGAATTTCAATTTGGCAGTGATAGTAGGAAAGACTGGAGAGGAGAGAAATTAGATGAAGGGCAGGGGGAGGGGGATTAGGAGTTTATTTTAATAACCCGGGTAAGAAGTAATGAGTGTTTGAACCATGTTGGTTCTAATGTGAATGATAAGAAAGAAGTGAATGTGAGAGGTATAGAGGATAGAGAATCAACAAATTTGGCAACTGCCTGTATATGAGGAGGGAAGGAGGGTGAAGAATCAAGTATGACTCCTTAGCTGTGACCCTGGGTGAGTGGAAGAATAGTGGTACCCTCAATGAATGTAGGAAAGTTAGGAGGAAGGAGGGAAGGATACTGAGCTCTATTTTTCACATCTCAAATTTGAGATGTATATGGGGGATCCAGGAGGATATATACAGCAGGCAATTAGAGGTACAAGACTCAAACTCAGAAGAGAGATAAATTGGAAGTTATCTTCCTAGAGATGTTAGTTGAATTTGTGGAAGTTGATGAAGTCATGAAGAAAAACAATGTAGTGAAAGACAAAGAGAGAGCTCAGGACAGAGCCCATAGAGGTAGAGGTGGTGGAAATTGGAAATGATCCTACAAGCAGACTGGGAAGGATCCTTCAGACAGGCAGGAATGATCCATGAAAGATTGGTGTCACAAAACCCCAGAAGGATGGGTGATCAACACTGTCAAATGCAGAGAGTTCAAATAGTATGAGGACTGGAAAAAAAAAAGGCCAGTGGGTTTAGTGACAAAAAGATCTTTGGGTGTCCTCGTAGAAAGAAATTTCAATTTCATGGTAAGAATGAAAGTCAGATAGCAAGACATTGAGAAATGAGTAGAAGGTAAGAAGGTAGGTACAAGAAGCACAGAAAGCTTGGTGTAGGAATCTGGCTGTGAAAGGAAGAGACACAGGACTGTAGCATGAAAAAAATGGTAAAGTGAAGGTTTGGTTTGGTTTTGTTGTTAAGAAGGATGAGCTATGGATATGTTTTTAAGCAATTAGGTAGGGGCCACTGGATGTAAAGAGACTGCAATTTGGGTAGAGGGAGTGAGCAAAGAGACAAGCTTCTAGAAGAGATATGATGAGATCAGATCAAAGGCACAAGTAGAGGAGTGGGTGTTGGCAAGAAAGATCACTTATTTCTTTGAGACTGGAAAAAGGAAGAAATAATGAGGAATAATGTTGAAGTGATTTGATGTATTTAATCAAGAAAGAAAGCTTGTGACAGATGACCTATGGCATGTCTCTGTGCCAGGCTAATGATATATTTCCTTAACTAATCTGTCTTCTGTTTATTTCCAAGTGGTCTGTAGTACACTCTAATCAGAATAGCCTGCTTCTCTTTGTTCCTCCATTTAGTCTTCATCCAAATGCTTTCCATCATTCTTTATCACTCTGACTCTTGGATTTCCTCACATGATCATATAGTGCAACTCTCCAGATCCCATCTCTTCTACCTTATTCTCTCTCTTTTTTTTCCGCTAGGCAATGGGGTTAAGTGACTTGCCCAGGGTCACACAGCTAGTAAGTGTCAAGTGTCTGAGAGTAGATTTGGAGTCAGGTCCTCCTGACTCCAGGGCCGGTGCTCTATCCACTGTGCCACCTAGCTACCCCACATTATTCTTTTTGGAATCAGTCCTTGTTAGGGGGTGTTCATCCCTGGCTTTCCTTGTTGCCCAGCTCCTTTTAAAATCTCTCTCCTACTTGAAGGCTCAGTTCAGATGCCACTTCCAGTTAGCCTTACTTGATTCCCTCCTGCTGTAAGTAAACTCTTCCATCTCAACTTTTCCTAGAGTACTTTATCTCTCCTTTATCAGAGAATACTTTCTACTTTTTACATGGTTATCTACATGTATGTCCTATTTCCTTATCCCAAGTAGAATGTAAACTTATTGAGGGCAGGTACAAATAATTTTTTTATAGATTTGTATCTTCAGTGTGTAGTTTATCAATGTTTGTCAAATGAAGTACGCATGAATGGATTTTGAATTCAACAAGTATGTACTGAGTGAGTGAATGCTATGTGCCTAGACTGTTGTAGACACTAGGAGGGGTCTAAAATTTTTAAAAATTGAGTTTTAGAACTAGAAATGATTTTAGAGATCATCTAGTTTTACCTAATTTATTTTTCAGATAAAAGAACTGAGATGCAGAAAAGGGAAACAACAACTAAGATAACAGAATACATGGCCAATGGCACAGCCAAGATTAGACTTCAGATCTTGGGAAGAATAATAGTCAATCTTTGTCCGCTGGGAATTTATAGAATTATTATAAAGACAAGATTAAAGCCTATGAAACAATACAAAATTGTCATTCTAAACATAAGCTATTCATTTACACTATATCTTTGTGAAAGCACAGTGAGTCAACAATAGGACATATCAGCGCTGACTAAAGATTCATGGACTCTCAGAAGTGGAATAAGGGAAGGAAGGAGGAAAGGAAGGGGGAAGAAGATGATAGAGAAGAAGGGAAAGAGGGAAGAAGGAAGGAAAGAAGGAACAGAGGGAGGAAGGGAGGGAAGGAGGGGAGGGACAGAAGAAAGGGAAAGAGGGAGGGAATTAAGAAGAGAAGAAGGAAGAAAGGAAGGAAAAAGGAAAAGAAGGGAAAGAGGGAGGAAGGGGGAGGGAGGAAGGGGGAGGGAAGGAAGGAAAGAAGGAAGGGAAAGAGGGAGGAGGTGGGAAAGAAGGAAAGGAGAAAAGAAGGGAGTAAAGGAGAGAAGGATGGAATGAAGAAGGGAGGAAGGAAGAAAGGAAGGAAAGAAGGAAAGAGAAGGAAAGAAGAAAAGGAGGAAAAGGGGAAGTGAGGTAAAGCGGGGGAAGGGAAGGAAAGATGAAGGAAGGGAGAGATGGAGGAAGGAAAGGAGAGAGGGAGGAAGGAAGGAAGGAAGGAAGGAAGGAAGGGAGGAAGCTACTGTTCCATTCCTCTGCTAATATGCTGTTCCTCTCTTTTGTTTTTTTAGGAGGAAGTCTTGTCCCTGAGCCTTCCAGGTGAGGTCTCTGCCTCTTCTGTTTTTCTTATTATCTGGGCATCCACACTGCAAAGACATGGAACTAGGTCTAGTCACTGTCATTTGTCTCTTGGGATGGATGTGTCCAGGTTCTGTTTTATGTGCATTGGGATAGGCAAAAACAATTCCCAGGACACGGTCACTGCCCATAGCCCTAACTCATTACTGTGGCTATCCATTTACTGCTCTACTTAGACCTGCCATTAATATTATGCTTGTTTAAATATTTAACTTACAGACTTGTTTGATGATGTACATTTGTCTATGTGTCCTCTAATTCTGTTCATTTCAGAGTCTTAGGCTAAGATTATTTATAAGTCCTCAGATGGCTTGCACCAAGTTTGCCTAACACATTCTTCAGATTGCCCAGTCTAAGAACAAGGACATAAAAAAAGTGTTCAATCAATTCTTTTCACACATACTTATAAGAATAAGGATAGCTGATTGAGCCACCCAGGCAACCAGAGTGGCCGCCACATCAGTGACCAGAGAAGTACATTGTCTGGGGCCTGTCTCCAGGCTGCCATACCTCATCCTCTAGTTTAGGCTCCCCTTTGGGCTATTAATTCATGACTGGTGTTTCTCCTGTAAGGCTCCGCATAAACCACCTCATAAGCTGTCCAGATCTCTTCTTCGTACCCCATCCTCCTTTCTCCCAGGGTTCTCCTCCTGACAGTCATTCACATTCAGTGTTGTCATTGTCCCAAGGTATATAATGTGTTTCTGTGTCTCACAGGGACCAACCTATCACAGACACCCAAGAATCTGGCCACTCAAAGTCAATCCCCCCAGTGGAGCTGCAGCCAATATATGACAATGGTAAAGTCTTTTCCCGTTGGAACAGGATTCTAGTGTAGGCACATGGAGTCAGGAAGGGGAAGAAAATAAACATATAGAGATAGAGATAGATATATACATATACACACATACATATATAGTATGTATATATGTGTATATACGTATGTGTATATATGTGTGTGTGTATATGTATATATATATGTATAGATAGATAGATAGGTAGATGATAGATAGATAGATAGATAGATATAGATAGATAGATAGATATACACACATCACCAACTATATGCCAAATACTATTCTAAAGGCTTCTTACAAATTCAACAGCCATGCAAGGTAGGGGCTATTATCCCCGCTTTACAGTTGAGGAAACTGGAATAAGCAGAGTTAAGTGACTTGGCCAGAGTCACACATCTAGTGAGTGTCTAAGTCCAGAACTGAACTAAAGCCCTTCTAACATCAGGCCCAGCACCCTATCCATTGAGTCACCTAGCTGTCTCCTAAGGAAAGAGGGGGTCAGAGGGACAGAGACAGAAACAGAAATAAACAGAGAGAAGAGGTATGGAGTGGAGGAAGACAGAGAAAGATTGAGATAGAGACAGAGGGAAACAGAGGCAGAGAGGCTCTGCTTAGGCCCAGTCACTCATGATAAATCAATAGTGGAAAGATTATTAAATCTGAGGCCAGGGGACCTGGATTCAAATCTTGCCCCTGCCATTTTCTGTCTGTACCAAGGTCACAATCTCCTTGGGCTTGGGTTTAAAAAGTGTAAGATAAGGAAGTGGTGTAACTGGCTTCTGAATTGCTTCTGGCTCTTGATCTTATGACTCCTCTAGAATCATGAATTAGATAGGAGTTGGAGAGGAAGAAGATTCAGTGGTTTGAAACCATGGCCAGGACCTCCAGTGAAACCTTTTCTTCTCTTGCAGTGACTCCATTCATTGAAGATGTGATCTATTCTGAAGTATGGGATATGAATCAGGGAAAAACAAACAGAGGTAAGACATTGGTCAGTGGTTACCATTCAGAATCACATCTTTGTTAGGGTTTATGGCATGTTTCCATAGATTACAACAACTCAAAATAGACTGGTCTTCTTTGCAAGGCAATAAATTCCCATTACTAGAGATATTTCAGCAAAGGCTGGATGACCACTTATGGGTTGAGATGACTGAAGGGATTCATGCATAAGAAAGTGGTTGGGATGAGATGACCTCTTAGGTCCCTTCCATGATTCTAAGAGCCTATGGTGTGAACTTTTGATCAAAATCTCCTGGCAAAGTTTGTATTCTCTGTTGTATTCTATCGTTGGAGACAGATAATTCCACAGTGTGGTCCATAGTGCAGAGAAATGCAAGTTCTATTCCACACTTATTTAGTGAGTTTTATCTTGGGCAGCTAGGTGGCACAGGGGATAGAGCACTGGACTTGGAACCAGGAAGACTCTTCTCCCTAGGTTTAAATCTGGTCTCAGATACTTACAAGTCATGTGGCCTTGGGCAAGCCACTTAATCCTGTTTGCCTCAGTTTTTTCATCTGGAAAATGAGCTAGAGAAGGAAATGGTAAACCACTCTAATATCTCTGCCAAGAAAATCCTGAATGGAGTCACAAAGAGTCAAACAGAACTGAAATGACTCAACAACAAAAGTCTGTAAACTTTGTGCTCTGTGGTGTAGAAAGTCACATGGTTCTTTCCCTCAAGCAACTCACTATCTAGGAGGGAGATAAGACAATATCATTACAAATCAAGTTAGAACAGTATAAGTGTTAGAAGAGAGGTAGAAAGGTAGTAAAGAGGTATATAGAGGGGTCAAAGGAGGAAGTGTTCCAATCCAGTTAGGGGAGATAATGGAAGGTTTCATGGAGGGAGTGGCATTTAAGCAGTGACCTTGAATAAAGCATGGGTTTCACCAGTCAGCAATGATAAAGATAAAATGACAAGAAGAGGAAGGAGGGGATTTTTGAAATAGGGTACAAGCAGAACAAAGGTGCAAAACCAGGAATTTACTGAGCATATTATGGGCATAAATAATTGTCTTGCTTGATGGATGCACTGGGCAATAGTAGGAGATAAGTCTGAGAACATAAGTTGGGATTACAATGTGGCGAGTCTTGAACGGCATACTGAGAAGTTTGCATTAGACTATATAGACAGTATGAGATCATGAAAAATTCTAAGTATGAAAGTAACATTATCAGAGCTATGCTTTAAAAAATTAATTTGGTAGCACTGTACAATATGGAACGGGCATGAGAAAGACAAGTCAAGGAAACCAATGATGAGGCTATTGGAACAGAATAGGTGAGGGGTGATGATGTGGTAAACTAGTATCATAGCTGAAAGAACAAGAACAGAGAACAAGCAAAGACATAAGAGACACAGATGGTGGTTGAAGAGTAGAAATTAATAAAACTTGTCAAGTGATTCAATTGGGAGGTGAGGGCGAAAGGCAATGAGGAAGAGAGGAGAGTCAAAGAATACTCCAAAGATTCAAGCATGGACCAATAAGAAAGCTGTTGTACAATAAATGGATGAATGAATGAATGAAAAGTATTTATCAAGTGTTTGCTATGCGCCAGGCACTGTGCTAATCATTGGGGAAACGAATAAAAAATAAGACAGTTCTTACTATCAAAGAGCCTACCTTCTGAAAGGGGGATATAGCACATATTAGGGAAACAGTGGCCAGAGAACGGAGTTTTAGCCTGGGCAGTTACAAGGCCATCAATTGGCATACTCTTTCCAGGAGCAATGATAATATCAATTTGATGAACAGAAATAATAGTTAGAAATAGTGGGTGGTTGGGGTGGGGAGACTGGGAAAGGGGCATTTGAGACAGATTGGATTTAAAGTCTCAGTGGAATATCCAGATGGAGATTTCCAGCCAAGTAGTTGGAAATATGGAATTAGACTTTGGGGAGCTATAGGTATAAGCTGATAGATGAAGGCATAGGAATAATGGCACTACTAAGGAAAAAAGTACACAGAAAAGGAAAGAGAGTCAAGATTCTGACTCTGGATCAATTCAATTCATCTCAACAAACATTAAGCACCCACCATAGGAGAAAAAGAAAGTTTAGATAATACATAATCCTTGCCTTCATAAGGGGAAAGATGGTGAGAACAGGGAAGAGACACAAACACAGGTAATTATAATCCAAAATATTATGTAGTGAGTGTACTAAAGAGAGGTTATTTCTGAGGCTTAGCAGAGACAGCATAGTGTGGGGGGGAAAGGACTGGATGTGAAGTCAGAACACCTGAATTTGAATTAAGGGTTTACTTATTACCTGTGAGTTTGGATAAATCACTTTAACCCCAGGGGCCTCAGTTTCCTCATCTATAAAATGACAGGATTGTACTAGATTGTCTCTAGGGTCTCTTTTGCCTCTAGAACCTAAGATCCTTATAAGTAATGACTGTTCAACAGATCTCCAAAACCAGATGCTGTCTTTAGGATTTAATGCTCCTTCTTTGATAGTCCTTAGAATGGTGACCATTCCTGGGAGGACTGCCCTTTGGTCTGAATGTCACACCTTTGTTGGCAGTTCAACTTCTTTATAGCCCCTCAATCAGTCAGTCCCTAGACCCTCCCAGACATTCCTCAATACATGGCACCATCTGAAAATGTATCCTTGGTCACTGTAGTGCTTCATTTCCTTGCTGCATGGAGTAAGCCTACTTGAGTATGGTCATAGAGTCAACTAACTATCCTGATACCATCTGTTCCTTACCTATGTCCTAAACCACAAAACCAAATGAGCTGGGAGGCATAGTCACCCACAATGGGCTAGTAAATGAATGGATACATGAATAAAAAGGCATTTATTAAGCACTTACTAAGGGTCAGATACTTCGCTGAATGTTGGGGATACAAATACAATGAGGGCCATTCCTTGGAACATGCTCAGAGTTGCTTTCCTGGATCCAGGTGACCATGTGGGAATTTTGTGGTCTATTCCCAGAAATCCAGTGATATAGCACTAAGAAGAATGGTCATTTATGTATAGTGTAGCAAACCCTGAATGATCCCTTAGTTATTTCCTGCCCCATAACAATGGCAAATAGATGAGGAGTTGTCAGTCAAAAGAAAATTTCCAACTCTCACATGTGGCAAGTAATGGTCCTTTTAACACTGAGTTACCACAAGGTGACAAATTTCTCACATGCCCAACCAGAACCAGGAAAGGTGACTCTGAGCATGACCCATTGGATGGCCCTGGTTACACAAATTAAAAAAAGGATCAGTCCCTGTCCTTAAGGGGTTTTCATTTTGAGAGAGAGGTGGAGGAGTGCAGTGGTCAGGGAAAGGCAAAGCTACAGGGATGATAAGCATAGTTATAGGATAATCAAATGGTGTGCCCTTTTCAGAAGCAATAGTAGTATTGATTTCGTTACTGTTCCAAGTATGAGAGGTAGAAAATGAGAAGAATGAAGTGGGGGACAATTGCCACCAAGAGGGCAGGAAGATGGTATTGTGGGGGTGTCTGTGGTCTTCTAGAGATAGTAAGCTCTCACTAATTAGCATAACCGTAAGCTAAGGGCTAGAGGTCCAATTAGAAGAGTGAGGCTGCAAGAGTGTCCCTAGGTAATGTGGCAGGAAGATGATACTCTCATGTGGCTAGTGACTAGCTACTTTCCAGGTTCATATTACTGGACACATTCTGAGATGGAATAGTAGTGGAAGATTAACCTAACCTTCTCTCCCATTCACCTCCATTGGACTCTTTTGGGAGGGGATATAGATACACCTCTGAGTAACTCCTCTTCCTGATTCTGTCTCTGTAAAACTACTGTCCCTTGAGATCTGACTACTTCTCTTGAGTGTCCAATTTCTAATGCACATAGTGAGAACACATTTCTCCCTTCCTTTCATTAAGGGACCCTCTCCAAGAAGAATCAATGGACAAGCTAAGAACTACAAACCTTGTAGGCATCTGCTGTAGAAAGTTGCTGACCACTAGAGATGATTACATTAAGAGAGCAATGACAGACATTCTTAGCAACCAGGAGAAGCCTCTCTCAGGTTCTCATGATCATAGAAACAAGAAGCAAATAGCTAAAGTAGCCACTCTGCAGACATTGCTTAGGTGAGAGTTGGGGAAAGAGACAGAAAAGGCAGTGTGAGTGGAACTTTAGAGGAAAACTTCATGGATCCATGGAGTTTTAGAGAGATTCAGCAGAAGGCAAGAGTTAAATGACAAGATGAAACAAAAAGCCATCTGGGTTAGAACTTAGAAAGAGAGGGGAGAAAGGAAAAGCAATGAAGAAGAAAACAATGAGGGCGCAGTGGTTCTGGCACTAGGACATAGAATATCAGGTATGGGCTCTATGTGGGAAGATCATTGAGTGCAACTCAATGTTCCTTTTCTCTCCACAGCAGACATCTCAGAGACCCTTCCAGAGGACAAGGTGAGTCATGTTCCCTGCTCTTCCTTTCCTATGTCCCCTTTCTCTTTCTTCTCCATGTCCTCATCTATTTTTCTTCTTCTTCTAGGACTCTTCAGTGATGTATTCTGAGGTGAAGACACATAGACCTGATAATAGGTCCATGGATAGGGACCATGAAGATGATACAGAAAATTATGAAAATGTCCTGCTCTCCTGACCTTATGATCATTGCACTCTTCAAGGACTTTCAGTTTATATCACCTATCTGCTTTCCCCTCTGGTACTCTTTCTTCAGTTATTCTGAGGTCAACCTAGCACATACTTTATCTAGGGAGTGAACTTAGCAAGAGGGACCAGGGCTATGGATAAGATATGGTTATGGGAAAACAAAGATAATCAAAAGGTCAAACTAAAGCCAAATCCCTCTAAAAACCACCTCAAGAACAGTAAGAAACTGTGCCAAATCAAACAACAAATCATCACCAAAAAAGATGGACCAAAAAGAATCTATATTAACATACTCTTGTTGTCAGGACAATTAGTCATATCAGACTCTTCATGACCCAATTTGAGGTTTTCTTGGCAAAGATACTGGATTAGTTTGCCATTTCCTTCTCCAGATCATTTTGCAGATGAGCAAACTGAGGCAAAAAGAGTTAAGTGACTTGTCTGGGGTCTCACAGTTAAAAAGTGTCTAAAGCCAAATTTGTTTGATCTCAAGCCTTCCTGACGCCAGTCTCAACATTCTATCCACTTTACCACGTAGCTGCCCTTAAGATACTCTACAGTGTAGGGTCTACACATTTTTTTAAATGAAGAAGTGAAGACAAGACAAAAAAAAGAGAAATGCTGCCTCTGTTAAAAATATAAAATTCATATAGAGTTTAAATGAGAGATTGAAGTAGAATCTATTATACTTCAGCTGCTTACAAAAAAAGCTGGAGATGACAATCATGATCTTAAACAAGGCAAACAGTAAAATTAGGCATGGTTAAAAGAGGTAAACAGGGAAACCACATTATGCTCAAGGACACCACAGATAACAAAACAATATCAGTGATAAATACATATGCACCAAAAAATATACTCTCTAAGCGCTTAAAGGAAAAATGAACTGAACTATTGGAAAGACTAGAAAGAAAAACAGTAAGTGCTGGCAACTTTAATGTGCCCCCCTCAGATGTAGATAAATACAACAGAAAAGTAAATATGAATAATATTGGCCATATGAACAGAATATTTGAAAAATTATATATGATAGATCTTTGGTGGTTACTGAATGAGCATTGTAAGGAGTATATATAATTTTCAGTTTTATTGCACCTTTAAAAATTACTAGCCATATTCTAGTATATAAAAGACTCATCAATAAATTTAAAAGATATAAATACTAGACATATTCATAGCCTAATAAAAGATGTAATTAATCAAGAAAATTGGAAAAAAATTCAGATTCAAAAGGTGATAAAATAATGTAATCCTAACTACTGCGTGAGTTAAAAAACAAATTATAGAAGTAACAAGTATTCATATCAAACAAAATTATAACAATCAGAGAATGTATTGATACTGATTAATATGTAGCCAAAGTAGCCCTTAAAGGGAAAAAAAAGTTTTCTATCCCTAAACACTTAAAAGAGAATAAAAGAGAAAATGAAGTGATCAATGAATTGAATAGGCAACTAAATAAACCTAAAGAAGCAACAAATAAATAATCCAAAATAAGTGCAAAAATATAAATTCTTGAAATTAAAGAAAAACAAAATTGAAAATAAACAAAAAACTCCTACTGAGATAATTATACAACTTGAAAAAAAATGAACAAAATAGGCAACCATTAATGAGCTTAAAACAATAAGGAAGAAAAACCAAGTTACCAACATGAAAAATGAAGAGAAATTCAAAACAAATGAAGAGAAAATAAAGGATATTGTTAAGGAAACTATTATATCCAAATGTGCCCACAAAACTAAAAGCTTAGTTGAAATAGACGGATATTTTTAAAATTCAGTTCAATAAATGTTTATTTAGCAATTGCTGTGTATAAGTGCTGAGAGAGTATACACACACACACACACACACACACACACACACAAAAGAAGCAGTCCCTTCCTTCAGGGAGCTTACATTCTACTAAGAGAATATAAAATACCAAAGTCCAAACTATGGGGACATAGAGAATTAAAACAACCTCCTAAGAGATCTCAAAAATTGATTTCAAAAATAGAAATTGAACAATCCATAAACTTTCAATAAAAAAAAAACCTGGACTCCAATAGACATGAATTATGTCAAGTATTTAAAGAACAGTTAATCCCCGTATATTAGGTTCATTATTTGCAAGAACAGTTAGAAAGGGCCTTACCCCCTCTGATCAATGCACTAATTGTGAATAGAGAGGACTCAAGAGGAAACATACCTCTTTCCAATAAATCAGAGGTACAGAATGAGGTCTGTGTTATCAGATATAGACAATGTGTTGGCGTTTTCCTTAAATATACTTTCTTATTACAAGGTAGCCTTCCCTTTGTGAGGTGTAAATGAAAAGAAAGAGCTGTTGGGAAGTGATAACAACTTTCTTTAGTTAAACATTTTTTCAATTAGCAAGAATTAATTTTCTCTCCCCATTTTCTCCTTGCCCACCCCATTGAGGAAAAATAAAATAAAAAAAGAAAACCTTCATAACAAATATGCACAGTCAAACACAACAAATTCTCACATTGGTCATGTCCAACAATGTATATCTCATTCTACACATTGAGTCTATCGCTTCTCTGCCAGGCATTGGGTAGCATTCTTTATCACTGGTCCTTTGGAATCATGGTTGGTCATTTTGTTGATCAAAGTTCTTAAGTAATTCATCCTCACAATGTTGTTATTGTATTAATTGTTCTGTTCACCTCACTGCTTCAGTTCATAGAAGTCTTTCCAGTTGCTTCTGAAACTGTTCATTTTTTACATCTTATGGAATAATAATTTTCCATTACATTCAGGTACTGTTAATTTTTCAGTCATTCCCCAATTGATGGTCATTCCCTTAGTCTTCAATTTTTTATTCCTAAAAAAGAGCTGCTATAAACATTTTTGTACATATGGTTTCTTTTCTTCTTTCTTTGATTTCTTTGGTATAGGCTTAGTATGACCAGGTCCAAGGGTAATCACAATTTACTGACTTGTGGGGCATATTTCCATATTTTTTTCTGGAATGATCTAAACCAATTGACATTAATAGTAATGTTGTTGTTTTTTTAAACACCAATAAAATGTTTGTTTAAAAACCTGTGCCCGGGTCAGCTAGGTGGCACAGTGGGTAGAGCGCTGGCCCTACAGTCACGAGGACCTGAGTTCAAATGCAGCCTCAGACACTTGATGCTTATTAGCTGTGTGACCGTGAGCAAGTCACTTAACCTCAATTGCCTCACCTAAAAAAAAAAAAAAAACCTTATGCCTGACCCATCACATCTCTTAGGAGTATCATCTCTAGGGTTATAGGTATTAAGTATCAAAGTGGAATTTGAACCCAGGTCCTGTGACTCCAGAGACAATGCTGTTTTTACTATACCGTATTCTGCCTCTAATGCAGGTTATAAGCAGACACATCCAGGGTGAAGGTCAAGGAATACTTCCTAAGAAATAAAGCTATCCCAAATCATAATGGGCTATCTTGGGTGGTAAAGACAAGAGGTCTTTAAGTAAAAGACTGAATTAATCACTTGTTGAGTATACTGTATGTAGGATTCTTGTTTGGCTATGATTTGGACTTGAGGACCTCTGAAGTTCCTGCCAAATCTGATATTCTGTGACCAAATGGCTCCTTCTACCTAGACAACTGAGTGGTGCAGTGGACAGAGAACTGGGCCTGGAGTCAGGAAGTCTTGAATTCAAATGACGCCTCAAGCACTTACTAGCTATGTGACACTGGGCAAGTCGTTTCACCTCCGTTTGTCTCGGTTTTCTTAACTGCAAGGAGGGAATAATAATAGCATTTACCTCAAAGGGTTATTGTGAAGATTAAATGAGATAATTTTTGTAAAGCACTTAGCAAAGTGCCTGGCATACAGTAGGCACTTTTTAAATGCTTATTCCTTTTCTTTCTCTATTCTAACCATAGAAATTGTATGCATAAATTGGCAAAAGTAGTATGGCCGTCAATATGGGGTATTAGAAAGCCAACTGGATTTGGAGTCAATGGACTGGAGTTCAAATTCTACCTCATATTTAATATCTTTGTGACCTTTGACAAATCTCTCTCAGTCTCAGTTTCATCCTCTGTAACATGAGTTTGTTGCACCAAATTGTCTTGGCACTAGATTATCTTGAAGGTCCCTTCCAGCTCTAAGTACTACGGTCTATGAAATGTTTCCTGGTCTTCTGTGCCTGAGTCATCCAGGGAGCAAAGTCCATTTTCCTTTTATGGAATGCCCTCTCCGCTAATACCAGCCGGGCAATGTCTCCCTGTTTCTTGCATACATCTCCTCAAGGCCTGCATCCTTTAGGGAAGTATTTCCTGATTAAAACACTTACTGCTTCTCAACATTAACCTTTCAACCAATATATGTTTATTGGGTGTCTACTATTTGCTACACACTATGTGTATTTGTGCTTAGGGGTGGAGAGGCCACATATGGAAATTATGAAACAGTTTCTGCCCTCATTCAGCTAGTTATCTATTTTTAAAGACAGGATATGTATAGGGGGTAGGGGAAACCCCTTCAACTACCTCAATGCATAAGAGTGATGTGTATTATACTCCTTTGCCTCTGTGTACACATTTATTTTGTGAATGCTATGGCTTCTTCATGGGTTTACTTATGTCTTTTTTCCCCCAAAGACCCTACAGAAATTTGAAACAAAGAATTAAGGCAATTGAGATGGAGGGTAATACCTGAAGCAGTGTCTCCACTCAAATGATTTTATTTTTGTCCTTTTGCATTTCACATTCATTTTCATGGGAGACTAAAAAGAATATTGGAGTTCAAAAAATTGATGGAGGATATGAACAGGCAGTTCTCAGATGAGGAAATTAAATCATCTATAGTCATATGAAAAAATGCTCTAAATCACTATTGATTAGGGAAATGCAAATCAAAACAACTCTGAGGTACCACATCACACCTGTCAGATTGGCCAACATGACAAAACAGGAAAATGATAAATGTTGAAAAAGATGTGGGAAAATTGGAACCCTAATGCATTGTTGGTGGAGTTGTGAAA